AGTGGGTGTAAATAAACGTTGTGTAACTCGTATTTGATTCCTTGTCCGTAGGAAAATGTGATTTATCATTATTCACCGAAGCAATCATTTTTCAATGATAAACCACGTCCAGCCTGAAGAATTTTTAATTTTATTGACACGGACAATCGTACTTACCCATTTTAAAATTACTTACAAATATTGCTACGAAATTTGTTTACGTTATTCTTCAGCTGGATATCAATAAAAACAACTATTTTTTGTCTACTTTGTACAATAATTCAGCAATACAGTATTCGCCCACCCCCCACCGTTCTCCTGTACGCGAACAATTTGACGAAATGGAATTTCATCAACTACAGAAAATTAAATCTGTATATTATATGTTATCCATTATCAATTATTTTCATCCCATTATTCAAATTCTGATCTTCACTCAACGAATAATGAATAAACAGTTGATTATCTTTTATGATATCATGGACCCCGAATGTATGCTAGCCGGCAGAACAGACTCGGTTGCATACAAGCAGGGAACACTGTATCATAGTAAACACGTTCCAAGTCTTAAGAGATTCTTAACTGATATCTAACAATATTTTATACAAACAAACGATAAATCGTACGATTCCTTTATGCCTTTGTTTCCTTTTGATTGGACACTCCAATTATGCCTTTAAAGTGCGATGAAAACGGAACATTTTAGTTCAACATACGCCATTGAAACTCTAGTTTGAAAACAGTGGATTATGCCGTTAATCGTGCCCACATTGCACATCAGGTCCTTGCATATAGAGTGGTATTGTAATTTCCATTTTTTTTTTTCTGATATATACACGGGTATCTGTTACTATTTAAGTAGACACGCTTCGCGAGACGTTAGGGAACGAAAATATCTATGTATATGGTCATCGTAAATATTTTTTTTTCCTTTTTGTCTTTTTGGTATTGCCCCAAGACGCGGAAAGGATTGCAATCGTAAAAGAAACGTATTATTTAATAGAGGAAATAATTATATCGACTCTACACTCTAAGTGCATTAGGAGATTAACCGATCTTCGTAACGTCCTTCAAAGAGGTAAAAAGCTGTTCGTTTGTATCATGGGTTTTGTAATTTCAAATATTGCAAGAAGGATGATTTATGATAACTAGGAAATTTACTAGACAAAACATTAAATAAAATATAGGGACAGAATTTATCCAAAGGTGATATCCAAGTGTGAAAAAGCGAACATTTTTTTCCAGCTTTAAGACACTCGTGTCGTATGGTACTACACGTTAGTACAAAAGAGAATAAGCATGATTTTTCACATCATCAGACACAAAAGATCACATGTTACTTGGCCTCCGACTCTGTGGGAGTCTCGCTTCTGGTAGGCACTTCTGATTTCACTTGAACAGGTGCATCTGTATCTGGTTGACTACCACTCTCGTCCGCAGGTGAGTCTTCTGATATGGCTGCATCTATAAGCTTTGTTTCTGAACCAACAAAAACGAACGAACATCTGGCAATAAAAATCGACGCAGCAACCAATACATATATATTAATCGCCATAACCTAACCTATTTACCTGGACAAACAGGTTCGGACATCAAAGAAAATACTTTTTCCTCAGGCATATCCTTTGTTAACTTTTTGAAATTAACCACTTGATCCGAAAATGATTGCCAAAACGATTGACCTTCGGGTATGGTAAACATAGCCTGCGCGTCGTTCGTTAAAAAGAAAAATACAACATATATATTTATTCAAGGTACGCAACAAAAGAACTTTCTGGTTAAATATAATTACCTTAAATTTGTTGTATATATGCTCAGCTTTTTGTCTGATTTGTTCTGCCTTTTGTTTGAAAATAGTCTACACATAAATTTAAAGAAACACGTATGAGATGTAATAAACTAAAATTATATACACTCCTACACTAAAAATATTACCTCTTCCTCCTCGTTCAATTTCCAATCAGCTAAATTGCCAATGTACCGACGCAACTAAAAAAATTATTAGGTCCGTTAAAACACTAATCATGAGGAATGGTAATACAATTCAATATATACTCTCCCACCCTTTTAACAGTCTCCACGATATGTGGGTGTTTCTTCAACATTAGAGGATCGATCGTAAGCGAAAGCATGTCATCCATTGCCTGTAAACATATGTCCGGATTTGCTCGATCTAATCCGAGATTGGACTTAATATTAGCATCCAATTGTAACAGTTGCGCTTCTATGCGCATCCATCTGGAATTGGTATTTGCGATTAAAAACTTGCAACTTCAATTCGTTAATTCGATCCCTATTATGTTGATATCTACCTCAATTTATTTGTTTTACGATGAAGCGCTCCATCTTTTGCTAACAATCGTTTCTCTTCATCTGGGACGTGTACATTAAAATCTAAGCAATCTTTCACTTGCTCTGGTAAAATTTCGCCGCTTTCCAATTGTGCTTTTAACTTCATGGCATTTCTAGCAGTAGACCACTCCCATTGCGTTCGAGCTTTTTCACTTTCAAAAGACTTTGGCTTATCCATGTCTAACTTAATGCCTACGTATTCACCAGCAAACGTTAACGCCAGCAGAGATCGTCCCGATGTATCGGAGGACGCAGTGCTAGACACCACGGTACCTTCCAACATTGGCGCTTCACTTACATTATTTTTTTCTGCAAAGTACACCACATTAAATTTCCTGTTAACACCTGATTTTGAGTACATGTGATATTTATAGGTGCTTACTTTCTAAAGTAGCCCTTTTCTTATGCATTACGCCAAGCGATGCTTGCTGGTCACCAGGTTCTTCAGTTTTGACTTTAGGACGACCTCTTCCGTGTTCTAAGACGCATAAAATACTCATGTGGAAAAATCCTATTAAAATACCTTATCTAATGGATACTTTCGTATATACCATTTTTGTCTGTAGTCTCCGTCTCTTCCGAACTTGAAAAATCGGCAAATCGTTTTGGTTTAATTTTTCTACCACTACGACTCACAACTTCTTTAGGCGACTCCTCCCCTTGAGAATCTAGCGCAGCATCCTGTTTTGTTGTATCGCTCGTAGACGCAGGTAAAGATTTTGCTTTTCCGCGTCTTTTCTTTATCTCAGGTGTATCCTAATTGTTCAAAATTTGTTAATTTTATATACTAGACTAAAAGAGATTATTTTTACGTGAAACCACTAACGCTATTGTTAGGAATAATCGCACAAACTATTCAGCCTCTACGAATGTTTGTCGGCAATTCCTTAAATTACTATCGGAGTGCTCGGTTCAATAACTGTTTCCTTAAACAATATTGCCGTGATGAGCAGAAGCTCCTAACGAAAGTTTATATATCCATGTGTATACATATACACATGACTACAAAAATATTCATATATAGGCATAAGTATATTACAGGATTATTAGTAGCACCCAGAAGAGTTCTCCTTTTCATGGATTTCTTTTTCTCTTCCTCATCAATAACTAAGGACCCTGATTCCATATCACTGTCAGCTGCACTAACTGTTGGTAAATCCATAGCGGCATTACTTCCCTTTGCTTCCTCCCCAATAGCAGATTCTTTGTTTATAAAAAGAAATGTGGATAAGTATCTCTGTCATACTGTTACATATTACATAATTAAATTTACAATAATAAAGTCAATAATATATGCTGATGATTTACTTCTGTCATTTTTAAGCTCTTGCTCCAATTGTATCAAACCCTCGTGAAAAAACTTTCTTCTAATAGGCTTGCCAAATTTTGCTTTATTTTCAATATATGTGAATAGCTCTTCTACCTTGCATACAGCCCTAAACCAAAATATTTAAAACTGTTAACACCTCAAATTTCCTATGTAGTCCTACTCTTTCGATACTCACGTTTCTCCTGTGCCATAAAAGTAAACACTGTATTTGGAATTTTTAGAATTAGGATCAATAACCTTTTCAACCTGAAAATAAATTGACAATATACACGCAAGTTCATACTTTTCAATTGCAAGGGAGTTACATAATTATTTATCCATTTATCCACCTATGTATGATGTAAATAAGAACATATCCAACAAATTAATTTGATCACTCATCTAAATAACACAGCTATCTTAATAATAAAGTAACGTTAAATTCAGTAACATGTGGGAGCCTATTGAATTACAAATACACGTAGTCGTATAATGCAGTCTTTATGTAAACACAATCTCAGAATAAATTAATACCGATATCGCGTTGCTTTGGAGCAGTATTGTAGTCACGAAATAACCAATTCTCTAATTAAATTACCCAAAAGTTGTTATTAATATCGTCGTGATAAATCTTCTCTAAATTACAAGAAACATTCGTAAAATTTACGATTGCACTTACTTTAGCTGGCCACGGTGGATAACCTCGAACTTTCGCAAACACCTTATCACCAGCGAAAAATTTCTTATGAAGCTTCACCATGTCGACGGCAAGCTTTCACAAGTGCAGGGTCAAGCGACAAACGCTATTCCTTTGCCTATTAAACACTACGAATGGTACGAACGGTTAATTTTTAAGAAACATCGAACAAAACATCGCGAAAGCCGCCATTTGCACGATATAATATCGAAAACACGCAGAGTAAGACGCTGCGCGCCAATTCATGAGCCTCTAGTTACAAACACTCACGAACTTGGACTACATGTTTGAAAACTCCTCAATTTAAAATTAAACGTCTGATTGGTTGTATTCTACACTATCGATTGCACGTATAAACATTACTTTTTGCTTTTTAGAAGATTAATTTTATTTTACATAACAAATTGGCTAATATAATAAAGAGTATTGTACAAGAAGAACATGATTACCAATCAATATATTTTTTTATTTTATTATCATACCCTCTTTACGTTTATTCGCCAATTTGTTCAATGTATAATCGACAAATTCTCAGATTGTATAATAATTAGAGTAAGATGTAATGATAAGAAGTATTAATAAATTAAATTTCATGTGATACGTATATCATATAACGTTGGTCGTATAGGTAATTGATAAGTAGGGTAGTGTTTCGTAAAGATACAGAAGCGACGTTTTATGTTGCGTTTCGGAACACGTGAATGAATTAGAATTCAATGGATACGGCTTGTCTGTCAAATATACCAATGTTGTTACGATACTTCTTTTAAAAATATCTCATATTCTTTCACGGATGTGTGCAATGTTACAACTGGTATTTAATCTTTCCTCCCAAGATTCTCGGTTACAAAACTCGAGAAACCTGTTCACTAAGATGTAAGTATGTTTTTTTCGACTTTCTTGTAACGTATCGTGTGAAACTACTGTTTTCTTTTTCATTTTCCTATTCTTGATTTTTTGCAGCATGTATCACGCTTCTTTTTATACGCGCTTATGGTGTAGACAGCAGCCTAAAACTTTTAATATCGTTCCAGTGTCTAAAAAGGATCACTCTTTAAACGACTGCTCTTCTTTCCTGTCGTAGTTGCCGCCGCTTTTATTTTTTACACGAAAATCTGACGCATCAACTGTATAATTAATCGAATTTAGTGATACTTGCGATACTAATAAAGTATTGCCTCTTTATAAAACATATATTTTTAATGTATTCGTATTTCTTGTCTACTGCATTATTTCTTCATATTTATTAATAAACATTGGTCTTGATGCTAATCTCATATATTTATAATATTTGAATAATTATGTAAATGTTTCTACTAATACATTGTTTGTACATAAATTTAATCTTTGCTTAATTTGATATACAAAAAGTTTGCTATTTAGGAATCCGTTGTATATGATTTTACTTTTGTCATAATTGTATCTGGATTATGTATAATAAACAGATGAACAAAGCCTACACATGGCAATAATATATGTCAATGTAATCAAAGATGCCAGTTCTTAAGGACCAACGCTTCCGTTGAAGTGTTTGAGTTCAAGAGGCCTGCTAAGGCACAATGAAAGCCATTGTATCAATTACATTGATTGTGCTACTGTGTGGGATAAACTCGGTGCCCATTAATGCCATCAAAATATGTGCCAGCAGAAAAAAAAGTGAAAATCTTTCTTTAAAACAAAATATACCCAGTGTACCTGAAGATATATCCAACGACAGTAGTGTAGCTCATACTATAGTAAGTTAGAATTATGGTACATTTCAAGAAAACATGTTTCTGTGTATTTAATTATTATGTAAATTAAATTAAATAAATAAACCCTTTACAGACAGACGACAATATTAAATTTGAAAAATGTACTAACTTTTGTCACGCATTATGGCAAGAAGATAAGACTGCTAATGGAACAGAAATTATTATTTTATCTCAAGGTATAGTTAATACCTTTTATAAAACTTGGCTTCTCCTATATTTATGGGACACCTTATATTGTATATATACTCTCCAGTTATTATAATTTTCATTGTACAACACTTCAGGTTGTTGGAAACAGTCTGGTGAACAAAAGTGTGAAACCACAGAGTGTATTGCTCTTCAACGTTCTACCAAGGCATTAAACAACACAAAATTCTGTTGTTGTCATGGAAATTATTGTAACCTTAATATCAATAGTACTAATCTTTTGTACTCTGAGAGCAAAGTACATAATTCTATTCCTACAGAAAATAATCAACCAAGTAAGGTCAAGAAGTGTTACATAAAATACATTTATAAAGTATTATGCAAACAGTCATAGTCTTATGCAAATTCTTTTAGCAACTGAATATTTGGAACAATCAGATTCTGGAAGATGGATGCTTATAATAACAAGCATCCTAGTTTGTGTACTACTAGCGATATGTATCGTAGCGTTAATGGTATATCGCATGTACAATACCAACATGTTATCAAGATTAGGAAAACCACATTCCTATACAGATCAGTTTATGGACAGCACAGCACTAAGAACGGGTACTTACAGGGTAGATCATTTGAAACTTACAACGATCGTAGGTATGTTTTCTGCTAACCACATCATTAATACTAAATAGACAAGTATATTTATATGCAAGTTGTGGGATACATTGTCTACTTTCAGGACAAGGACGATATGGTTCGGTATGGCAAGGCAGTATGGAAGACCAAGATGTAGCTGTAAAAATATTTCCGTCTCATTATCGTAACTATTTCCAAAACGAACGCGATACTTATTGTCTTCCCTTTATGGAACATTCGTCTTTATTAAGTTATTATGGTTAGCACCTCTCTTTTAATAATATTCCCTTGTAAAAAATATATCATGAAAAGGCACCTATGATTCATATTTAGGCGTCGATGAAAGGGTTAACTTGGAGGGCAGCGTTGAATATCTTTTGGTACTTAGTTTTGCACCAGGCGGTACCTTGACTGATTTCTTAAGAACTCATATAGTTGATTGGACCACATTATGTAAAATGGGTCTCTCTATGGTAAAAGGACTTGCTTACTTACATACCGATATACACAAAGGTGGTAAGTAAAGCATGAAAGGAAGTTCTCGGATATTTAAAGAATACTTATAACGGGTCGATTTATTTTATAGATAAATTCAAACCTTGCATCGCGCACAGAGATATCAATTCAAGAAACATATTAATCAAAGCTGATGGTACTTGCTGCATATGCGATTTAGGATTGGCAGTTCAAATTGCTGGTTCTAAATACTATTCAAACGGAGAGGAACAACATGCTGAGATAAAATCGATTAATGATGTAAGGGAATGACTTATATTTCCAAATTATACCCTTGTAAGATAACTTATAATGTCACTGCTACCCCTAAATTAGGTTGGCACTTTGAGATATATGGCGCCCGAAGTATTGGAAGGCGCGGTTAATTTGCGAGATTGCGAAAGCTCTTTAAAACAGATAGATGTTTATGCAATGGGCCTAGTGCTATGGGAATTAGTTTCAAGATGCTCTGACATTTACATGCCAGGATCTGAAGTACCTCCGTATAGACAACCGTACGAAAAAGAAATTGGTCTTCATCCGACGTTCGAACAAATGCAAGTCTTAGTTTCCCGTAATAAAGCTAGACCTTTGCTAGAAGGTAATTTAGTAGACAGACCGGGAGTACGTTTGATCAGAGAAACTATGGAAGACTGCTTGGATGCAGATGCGGAGGCTCGATTAACCGCTTTATGTATAGAAGAACGTCTTTCAGAGCTACAATCTCATCGCGGTAAATTTCATTGCATGAACCGTGGCATGAAGACATACTACTATAGGCCGTAACAAAATTTAAAAATTTTTAGTGACTATGCACTTCACCGATGGAAGTCCAATGGTAAACTCCCATTGCACCTTAGTGCCTTCGACTACAAACAGTCTTTACAGCGAGATTTCGCATCACGACAATGCTCACGTCGCTCATCTATCATTGCACATGGTACAAGACAATTCAAGTAACGAGGGTGGCATTGTTGAGAATTTGATAACATTATCACCTTCCGAAAGTATTGTCCACGAACATAGTTGTAAGTATTTCGACGCTGTTATACATATAGATAACGATTTAATGAAATACGTATATAACTTTTAATTATATTTTAGTTAAAAATTCAAACGAAGTAGCAATATATAACCATACTCAGACACTTCAACCTTATCAAGGGCGGAATCCATGCATGGAAAGAAATTTAATGTTACAGTCGGATTCATTCGAAGAGCTAGGATGTAACGGTAATGTACTCGTCGATAAATCCATGAAGCACGCATGTAACGATCAATACAGAATTGTCTCAGAAGCGCAAGGTCTCGTTTCCCATGATTATTTGAGCCAACATACGACGCAATTGACCCAGCTAAGACCAGCTACCCCTATACCATATGTTCAGAACGTTATCTCCGACGATGCTACGTCGTCGTATGGTAAACGCAAACAAACAAATGTACACGAGGTCTGTTCCCAAGAAAGTCCTAGAAAAAAGCTATTCGGATGGCCCAACTTTAAGAAGTTGCTAGTTAACAAAAAAATGTACCCTTACAATAAATACCAAATAGATCGAGAGGATTCTAAATCGAACTTACTATCGAAACAGAACGTGCAAATCAAAACGGTCGAAACGAACGTAACGATATCTCCAGGAGGGAAATATGTGAATGGTATTATCGCTAAAACACCGACTTCTACCACTCCGTTAGATAAGAACGATAAAAATGCTGTACAAATTGGCAAGCAGAAATTAGAAAATGACAACAATACGAACATTCGACCATCTACTTTGCCCCTTGTAAATTTAAGAAATAAAAAAAGTGAGAACAATCTCAGTAGACAGGAAAGTATCGACAAATTCAACGAAGTCTTTAACGTGGGATCGAACGTGAACGTGTTAAAGGATCCACATATGAGAATAAAAACCCCAGGCGACTTGCCACCCTCCGTAAGAAAGGTTCGTGGTCGCGGGCAGTCAACTGCAAGATTCTCTCTCTACGACGATAGAATGATGTGCAATATATTGAGCGAGGAAGATGATCGAAGCGACAAAGCGATTTGGAATTCTGTACCATTTGGTATGGATTTCGGCGACAGTAACGAAAAACATTCGCCGACTAAACTCAGTACCAAAAACGTTACTTGCTTTTAATCGGATATAATATTAATGTATTTGTAAAAGTCTTTAGATGTAAGAGTAATAATGGCTGTAGTATAACTTCAGCATAGATATATGTATGTACAGAAAATATGTATAAGGATAAGACAGATTTTATACTCTGAATGGAAATTCATTACGAACACTCAAGCATTGAAACAAACAAACAAACGAAAGAGACGAAAAAAGATATACTCGGATATCATTCAGATAGAAAACGGGGTATTCAATAATTTACGCTAATTATTTGGTCCTCGCAAGTATATTTTATGCTTGAAGAATCTACCGATTCGATGTTTGGCAATATTTGAAAAATTGTGTTTATCTGACATAATTAGATAGCTACTTATAAATGTTATATCAATGTCGATCTTAGTGTTTCGTACGTTCAAACTAGCAGCACACATTAGAAACGTATTTTGGTAAATGTAATAAGTGTAAATCATGATTCCCATTGTCCTGCACGTATTTCAATTGAATGTTCATAGTTTAATGAATTGTGCACGATTGATCAAAGACAATCAGTGTTGATATTCATCAAGTCATAAATCACTAAAACTATTCCTGACACACAATTATTTTATTCATATTCATTAGAATTTGTTTCCATTGCTATGAAATTCATGAAATATACAATTTGAATGTACAATTTCAAGTCTAACAAAAAATTAAAAATTTTTAAATAATATTCGTACTGGTTCATAATTCCAATCCATAATTAATATGAAAAAAAAAACATGTAAATGTATTTTACATTTGAGCGCAAAATATAATTGTTTAAGTTTTGTAATATTTCTACTTTCCGGCCCCGTAAGCTCAATGTAAATATTTGTAGCATAAAAACAATTTTATGTGCGAGTTGAATAAGCTTGTTATGTTTTATTCTGTTGAAATTATAAGATTCTTACGTTCAGAATGTGCACTATTTTATATTAAGAAAAACTTTAAAGTAAGGATAATACGAAGAAAATAATAAAATATATAATTATGTGATACACAATAAAAGAAGTTTTTTGTCTAAAAATCATTTTCTGTTCATTTTATGTTACACGTTTATGTAGAGACTTTAGTGATAGCGATAATGCGGTAGTTCTGTTACATCATGGTGGTTCGTTAATGTTTAGACCGCTTGAACACGAGTCGCGCAAACCATCAATTTTTTGAATGTTTAAACAGTAAAAAGTTACTCGTTAAAAGAAGATTTAACATTATGTCTATCATCACAGTTTTGAAACATAATATCAACTTAAACACGTTATCATCGGTGCACGCTTTTAAGGTAAGTATTCTAACCTTCTATCAAATTTAGGTTACATATAAATTATTGAATTAACTTGCATAATTGTATACGTTTAACATTCTTTATCATTTGTTTTATGTTCGCAATAGAACGCGCGGTTTTTCTCGACGCATTTGAAATTTGCAGAACATAAACCGCTGGAAAAGATTCGAAATATCGGTATATCCGCCCACATTGATTCTGGGAAAACTACGTTGACAGAACGTATACTATTTTATACTGGAAGAATAGAACAGATGCACGAGGTAAATAAAGAGAGATCTCAGTAATAACATGATTCAATCTAATTATATTATATAAAATGTGATAGGTAAGAGGTAAGGATAACGTTGGAGCAACAATGGACAGTATGGAATTAGAAAGACAAAGGGGTATTACAATTCAGTCAGCAGCAACATATACTCTATGGAAAGATCACAATATTAACATCATTGACACTCCTGGTCATGTTGATTTTACTGTAGAAGTAGAGAGAGCATTACGTGTCTTAGATGGAGCTATACTTGTATTATGCGCAGTAGGTGGTGTTCAATCTCAATCGATGACTGTAAATCGTCAAATGAAGAGGTACAATGTACCTTGCTTGGCATTTATCAATAAATTAGATAGGATGGGTGCAAATCATAAGAGAGTATTGGAACAATTACGTGGCAAACTATTCCACAATGCTGCATTTCTACAACTGCCAATTGGTTTAGAAGGTAATAACAAAGGCATAGTGGATATAATCACTGAGAAAGCTCTATATTTTGAAGGAGACTATGGTAGCACTGTTAGAGAAGATGAAATTCCAGCAGACATGAGAGCAGGTATATGTTGTTGAGTGAAGATTATCATAGTATTAATAAATGCAAAGAATACATGTAAACCTGTATACCTATACTATTATATGCAGAGGTCAAGGATCGAAAACAAGAATTAATTGAGCATTTAAGTAACGTCGACGATAAACTTGGGGAAATGTATTTAAATGAAACACAAGTTGTTGAACAGGACATAAAAGATGCTATTAGGCGAGCGTGTATGAAAAGAGCTTTTACACCAGTATTGGTTGGAACTGCTTTAAGAAATAAGGGTGTTCAACCCCTGTTGGATGCAGTTTTGGATTATTTACCAAACCCTGGAGAAGTCGAAAATTATGCACTTAAGATGGACGGGTAATTTTCTTTAGATATTGCTCGTTTGTTTCTTAAATTCCTTATTTCTTTGAATTACAGAACAGTGCCTTTTTTATTTACAGAAAGGAAGCTACAAAAGTAATTTTAAATCCCGAAAGAAGCGATAATAATCCTTTTGTTGGATTAGCATTCAAATTAGAAGCTGGTAAATTCGGTCAATTGACATACTTCCGTTGTTACCAAGGGAGGCTGAGTAAAAGTGAAAACATATACAACACAAGAACAAATAAAAAGGTATGTCAATTTGTTGAAGACGTTTCAATTTACTCAACATTTTTTATGAATGTAATGTTCCATAGGTCCGAATACCCCGGTTAGTACGACTCCATTCGAATCAAATGGAAGACGTGAACGAAGTTTACGCCGGAGATATTTTCGCTGTGTTTGGTGTCGACTGCGCGTCAGGTGACACGTTTGTCAAAGATTCTGATCTCTTGATATCCATGGAATCTATTTTTGTACCTGAACCTGTAGTATCTATGTCTATTGAGCCAAAGAATTCACAGCAAAGAGATAACTTTGCAAAAGGCATCAGGCGATTCACCAAAGAAGATCCGACTCTCAGATTTGAATATGTCGTCGATAACAAGGTGATTTTTACGAGTTTTAGAATAGATGTAGACATTTCGTTCGATGTAAACGATATTTAGACGACTAATTTGCAATACATTTTAGGAATCTATCATTTCTGGGATGGGGGAGTTGCATTTGGAAATTTACGCGCAAAGGCTTGAGCGAGAATACAATTGTCCCATTGTGCTTGGAAAACCAAAAGTTTCATTCCGGGAAACATTGCGGGAACCTATCAAATTTGATTATTTGCATAAAAAACAGTCAGGTGGAGCCGGTCAGTATGCCCGAGTAACTGGGATAATAGAGGTACATATTTTTTTTACCTGATGGAAACGTGTTTCCTTCGAACATTTATTATTTTTTCGTTTTGTTAATTTTTACGTGTTGCTTTAGCCATTGCCAGCTTATGAGAATACGAATGTCGAGTTCGTCGATGAAACGGTAGGACCAAACGTTCCGAAACAGTATATCCCTGGTATAGAAAAAGGTTTCAGATTTATGTGTGAGAAGGGAGTCCTCACTGGTAATAAAGTGGCCGGTATCAAATTTAGATTACAAGACGGTATGCATCATATCGTCGATTCCTCGGAGTTTGCGTTTTTCCAAGCAGCGCAAGGTGCAATGAGAGACGTGTTCGAAGATGGTTCGTGGTATCTTCTGGAGCCAATTATGAACGTAGAGGTGACCGCTCCGATAGAGTTTCAGGTATATAAAATATTTATCGCGCGATAGCATCGTTAATAATTTCTCTTATTAATCTAATTTTCTTAATCGATGCAGGGACTAATTATAGGGCAAATTAGTAGACGAAACGGTATCGTAGTTGACACGGAAACTGCCGAAGGATGGTTTTCGATAGTCGCGGAAATACCATTAAACGAGATGTTTGGTTACGTCGGCGAATTGAGATCTTGCACCCAAGGTAAGGGTGAATACACCATGGAATATTCGAGATATAGTCCATGTTTACCGGGCGTAGAGGAACAATTGATAAGACAATATCAAGAAGCGAATAATATAGTTCCCGACGAAAAAAAGGACAAGAAGAAAAATTAACGAAAGATCGACGTTCGCGTTAATGTAGAATTTAATTTGATTCTGTAATATATACACGATGTCTCTGAATGGCTTTGAATGTTTGAATAGCTTTGTAAATACTAGTATGAATGTACGAAACACGTTGATACGAAATTATTAGGTTGTTTCGAAAGTTTCTTTCGCGCGTTGCACTCAATTATTTTATGTGGTCGTGTTTCTATAAATAGACAATCTAATTTCGTAGATATTCATGTTGTAACAGTAATGGAGCAAAATGAATCGTGCACAATTCAGTAATGTAACATGAAACAAACTATTGTGAATGTATCATTTATTAATCAAGCGAAAGAAACTTTTGAGACAACCTAATACTTCACACAACTTTGTGACTAAGTCTGTAGGTAGTCAACGACGAAAATATAGACGAATGATTAGTATTAACTTGCTCGTGTTACGTTGGACTTTGCTAAATAAACATTTAATATTTACTCACGTTGTATACCACTTATTCTTTAAATACAAATATCCTTCCTATTCTCCAAGGTAAAGGACGCGAGTAAGAGTTAGTCTCTAACAAACGAGTAACTTTAACAAAATTTTCTAATAATTTTTTAATTTTCTTTCCATCAGTTTTAGTATCCATTTGCACTTTTTCCCCCCATTTTATACTCAATATTGCACTCCACGCTAAACAATTCGAAACGTAGAAAAGACCGACGTCATACCGAACTAAACTGTTCAAGTTCGAAAATTCGAGTCCTACTGCGATTCTCGAAATCGTGGAATCGATTGCTCGACTTTAGTTGATACAAAGATGGCGTCCCGATGGGGGCGCTGCAGTTAGATGCACCGATGCACGCTCTGGTGAGATCAGTAGCGCAGGAGCGAGGACCGGGAGTGGTTAGTTGACGGGTGTTGAGTTATTTTCGTGACATCCTTAGCTCGTCGATCAAACGACGGGCGACTGATCCGTCAGAAAGGATACTTTTCGCGTGTACGTGCTCGAAAAATGTAATATGGCGATGGTCGCGTCGAATATGAGCGGCCACATCCAGAAGCAGCTCACCCGAAGCCTCGAGCGAATCCTGGAGGAAGCACACTTGAGCGGAGAGCTCAAGCTCAGCGGCCGGAAGCTAAAGGACTTCCCGAAAGTCGGGAAAACTGGCTCCAGCAAATACAACCTCCAGGATACGGTTTTCGCTGGTGAGTTGCCCGATCTAACAATTCACGTTTTCATTTAACCGAAACGTCTTCGGAGGCAAACACAAATTCGAAGAGAGTCAAAATACATCGCCCGGTTTTTAAATAGGCTTCTACGTTAGAGGAGCTATAATCGAAGAAATGAAAAAATTGTATTCGTATCATTTCAGACTATCTTTTATCCTCTACCCCAAAATTCTATCTACGCAAGAATTTCGCCCGTCTCTGGAGAAAACCCGTCCACGACCAAAACTGGTTTTTTTCCTCCTAATCCTGTGCTCGTTTGTCGCTGTTAAAAAGACTCGAAGGAACACCTGCAGAGGTTCTGTTCCGTTCTGCTCCCGCTGCGATTATAGGAGGCGATACCCCGAATACTTTCGGAGTTAACCTCGAATATTTGTGTTTATGTCACGTCCACGCGCGTAAGCGGCGCCCGAATGCTTCGCGGCGTACGTGTCGCGTTTATTGTTGCTCACATTACAGCTGCACGCTTCATTCACTCGTACCTTCAGGTACAACCTTTTATTTTACGTATTGGGGCTAGTCTCTGCCACGAGATGGAAGTTAAACAATCGAGAATCATTCTCGTCGTCCGTGCAATAAACGAAACATAGAAACGACAGCGGAAACGAGCGTCTTTTGGAAACGGATATCCAAGTCCTTTAGGGGACAGTCTTAAGAATGCGTTGGTCGATCGTTGGCACGACGACCGGCGAGAAACATTTACGCGTTACATAATAGAAAACCCATCTGTATTTACGGTGCATTGGTCCGTGTAAAAGGTTTATGTACCTGTCTATTAGTCTTCGACTGGTAAAAGTGAAATCAACGGATATCTAGGGAACGCTTAAGAAAAGAAACGGGACACACGTGTGTAATCTACGTTGATAATGAAACTGATACTTAGGTATACAATTATTTACAAAGCTGCCTTCGAAGTTATTGCGGGGGTGAGGTGAGGAGGGGTATAAGAAAGTTTTTCTAAACTCGTTTCATGCATAATAATAATTCCAACTAATAAAATAAGTAATACAATTAATGGCTATATCTTTTTAAATTATAAGTAGACTCGATCTACACAAGTTTATTTTCTAAATAAAATGGAATTAAACAAGTGGCAATCAATAGTTTGTACTCGATGTATCGGTGCATCGGTTTTATGCTAGAAGCAATTCAGCTATAAATCCATTTGTGCAACGGACGTATCCGTTTAGCAACATTCCCAAAGCAACTGGTTACAGAATACAATCCCGGTTAGTATTAGGTTGTCCCGAAAGTTTCTTTCGCGCGTTGCACTCAATTATTTTATGTGGTCGTGTTTCTATAAGTAGACAATCTAATTTCGTAGATATTCATGTTGTAACAGTAATGGAGCAAAATGAATCGTGCACGATTCAGTAATGTAACATAAAACGTAAACTATCGTGCATGTATTACTTATTAATCATGCGAAAGAAACTTTCGGGACAACCTAATACATACTGAACCTATTTCCTCCAGTTCGCGTGGAAATGCGTGGGATTTGAATAAAATATATGCGTGACGGCTACCGTATCGCGAGTTGCTGCGCGATACGTCGCGTCGAGCGCGGATAATTGATTTAATTGTCAATTTGAGCGAATGAAAAAAGGAATTAGATAAAAAAAGAATCAGGTTATCGTGCTATTATCGTCGATACAGTGCACCCAATTTTGTATTCTTTCAACCGGGTCGCGGCCCCTGCGCCTCGATTTCCCTTTTATAGGAGCAGTCGTCTAGAAGAGTGCAACATGCAAAGTTAATTTGCATAGTCGCTGACACTCATCGCGGGGCGACGTTATCTCGACACACCCGGTGTTTCCTGTTACCAAGAGATATGCCGTGCTTTCGACAGTTGCTCGTTGATACCGGGTGCACGGGGAATTACGTGCGCAGAAGCGTAAGGAACGCTTCAAGTTTTGAGACTGTCGATACCAGCGGCTTTGGGAAACCTTTTATCATTGGAAGACCGCGTGTCGCGTTACCGAGCTTCTCATGGGGTTGCACACTTTGCGCTAGACAACTTTGACGATGTATCGATCATAAAGAGACGATACGTGACGAATTTATTAATTAATTTAAAAAACAGAAAGAAATATTTCAAAAATGCAAACGCAGAATGTGAAAGTTTCTGATACGTCTTAAGAAAGTATATAATTCACAAAGACTCGTTAAAGTTTAAGTTGATTTAAATCATTCGTTTCTGACGTATCCGCAAATAAATTACATTTATATTTAATTATCTAATCGACACGATCTGAATTTTTAGTAAGGGCGTGCCTACTCGCGTGCGCATCAAATTACAGAAAGACGATTTCTTATCTCCTTCGGCACGATTCCCACAGCACTGAAGTGGGGAGATATACGTGTTTGAGGATTTGCTTTTTGGTGCGCGCTTATCTCGTCGATTGCACGGCGTCGTTTATCGAGCACGCACTAGTGTTCGCAATGTTTGGAAATATTTTCCGTTCCACGACCGTGACCGAACGATGATGACTGAAGTTTCAAAACTTTGCGACCCGTGCAGATCACGCAGTGCCACCTGGGACCGATTAGAATTGTTTATATTTCCGCGGTCACGGTGATCTTCGCCTCCCGACGCTTGTTGTCACCGCTAAAGACTACCGTATTAGAGTCGGATGGTCGCGGATTACCTTCGGAACAAAAGTGCGGTCGTAACGGGCTTACTCGCGAGTTTATCGATGCTATAAATCGGCGCGAAGCAGGCTGTTATGGTCCTGAGGTTGTTGACCCTTGCTGACTGGGTCAATTCCGACCCGTGCTAGAATTAACATTATCTTTCTAGTTTAACGATAGCATAGTTGGTACTTTCTGCTAACAATTTACTAATTACAATTTGTCTCTTTCTTCTTCGTCTTATTTTAATCATTCGTTACTAGCGCTACTTTTTTTAAAAAGAAATCAGTAGACAATTTGGAACGAACTCTGCGTTTCGAGAAACAGCTGAGTTATTGGTAAAAAAAAAAAAAAAGGAGTACGCTGGACGAGGTAGGAATATTCCTGATCGTCCATGCGAATGCTTAATCACGCCGGGAGCCATGATTACTCCCTCGGCGCAAAGAAACAAATAATTATCGCCATGTTTCATACTTGGTACGGCTGTCTACCATTGAGCGAGCCGAGCTCATCGGTTTTCGATGGCGATTCTGTCGTCGAAGGAAGGGAACGAGGCAATTTCGGTCGACGTCCCCCGATACCCGAGGGATGATCAGCCCCGACGAAAGGGAAACTTTTGTGCCCGTTACAATTTCGGCTCGGGGTATTATCGAACTGCTCGTCAGGCCTTCTTACGAGGTTCGACGATGACAGAAGGGGACGTAACTTCATTAAGGAACCCCAGGTCAGTTCGCCTGGTCGTACAGAGGGACCTGACCAGTCGTGTCCTGCGTCGTTACAACACAGATACGGGGCAACGCTCCTATCAAGAAAATCGGCCAACGAATAAAAACGTACGGAGCAAACGTAGCCCAAACAAGCTAATACCAAATATAAATTTACCCTCAGCGTATAATGCAATGTAATAATGTAACGATCCGCGAAGCAACGTTTTTCACTTAAAGAACTTTATCCCAGAAATTATTCAGCCGAACAAATCGCTATGCATCTCCTTTTATTCGAATCGAGTTTAACACCTCTGTTAAAGCGTCTATCGCGCGCAAATGGACCACGACGATGGCCACGACGACAAGAACGTCGGGAACGAATGTTACGCGACTGCTAGATCCTAAGCTCTGTGCCAGCGTTTTCAGCCAAGAGTTCCGCGCGTGTTCTGCGAGCGCACTCGACAGCCCCTCGTTTCTAGCGATGGAATTAAACTCTTTACAACAGAAATCTAAATAAAAATGCGTAATAAAGAAAGCCTCTCCCCAAGGAGAACGTTTCTGGCCCCTTCCAACGACTTAACCGGCTCGATAAGTTCGTCTAATGAAAAAGGCAACGCTCAACCGAGGCATCGCTCGCGTTACGGTAACGCGAAATGAAATCTTCAGCAAAAACGGGATATCGCATGCGCCAATGCAGTCGGGAGATTAAAATTTGCGGAGAAACTCGCGCGAAACGGGCCGTACCAGTATCTCGGAGCAATCTTTGCTCGTGCTTGAAGCACTAATTCCGAAAGTACACGCGAAGTACATAGCGGGGAGCGTACGGTCGAGTTGCCGGACTGGAATGCCACGGAGAGGCGAGGATTAAGCGGAAGGAAATAAAAAAAAAAAAAAGGATCCTCTCGCCCTTTTCTCTCGCGTCTTCCTCAAAGAAAGCGCGCAGTACACCGTGACATAATCGATAAGAAGCTTTTTCCGCCGTGGGAGCGTATCGTGGCGCGCTGTTTGTCTTTGCTATCGTCGATTTTCTCCGTCCACCGCGTGGATAACCAATCCACCTGTTAAAACGGAACTTCGATCACTTTATAGAGCTTTATCACTACTACTAGAGGTCTACGCCATTTCGCTGGTGGTCTTCGGGCATAACTTACTGCAATTAAAACATAAAGTGAAGGAAATGCAATACTTTGAAGTAAAATAAATTCCTGGAATAAAGAGAGAACTTACATTACACCCAATGGTCAACTGGCCCATAGCTGACCGATTGTTTTGTTAGACGCTGTGCATGGACGAACCGTTAAGCACAATTACGCGAAGCAAAATCATTAACGGTCCAGCGTCGAGCCGACTTCGACGAAACAATTTGTCCACGGTTGTGCAATCGTCTTCGTCGGTCGTTTTTATTCCCAGCTCACGTGTCCAGTCAATTTCCTTTTACTCTTCCTGCTTCCATCGAGGATACGCTACGTCGCCTACAATGGATCTACTTTTCCCTCTGTGTATGGAAATCTACGAATGCTCTTATACCCTGTATTAATTTCTAAATTTATGCATTTTCTACGACGCCGTTGAGACGCTGTTCACCGATTCTCAAAGTAAAATCTTGTAATTATAATTTCGCTCTTTCCGTCCTGATTGTCC